TAGAACCTCAGTCAGTCAAATTATCTGCTATTCTTTTCAATCTAGGCATAGTAAAGACTGTTGTCCATTTGTTACTGTGCTTTTAATTTCTTTTAAATAAAGTAAAAAAGACAATACAGCATACTAAGTATTTTAAGAACTATTAAATTAGTTTAAATGAATGCAGAATTATTCCTATGATGTCCGATAAGTAACATCTTGTAAGCATTGTTGGGAAAACCATTAGTTACTCTTAGGCTAACTGTTCCTATCTAATTTTAAAGCCCACGTAAATTAACACTAGTTTTAACTGCTTTATGATAGGGGAAAATTAAATTATGTTTTTAAGTATATAAAATTTCATCTTTCAAAAAGAAAAAAAAAGAGTTTTGTATTTCAATTTAAGGAAATTAAAATACTTTTTTTTTAAATACCTAATTTTTATTAAAATGTAATCCAATAAAGGAAAGAGTAAAATTTCTCACTTGCATTAAATCAAACAAACATTTCACCAACAGAAAAAAAAAAAAAAGGCGATCCAATTATCTCGACTTTTTTCGAAAATCCAAAGAGTTTTTTTCCAAGGTAATCTGGATATTTGGAGTTCTGCTGTAAGACTTACATTGCTTTTTAAATTGATTCATACCTAAATCTATTAATCAGCATTTTTGATACTCGTTCTGCAGTAACTGAGAGATAAAACCATTGAAATCGGAAGTTTGTCCCGATTTCTCTTTCTACTGAACGGGTTGTTTGCAAGAGGATTTTGTGATTCTATTGTCTATGTGAATACGAGCCAATACTTTTGAAGATTTTCTTAAGCAGACAACTTTCAAGCGCTTTGATGTGGCAAATAATTTAAATCTAAATAATTTTATATCCATTTTTAATTTAATCTAATATAGTAAATTTTATAAAACTAAATTCAAAGGTAAATATGAAAAACATTTTACATGTTAACTAATCTAAATATTGACTTTTACTGAATAGGCATGATATTTTCCCCTCTGCTTTCTATATTTAGATAATACACTTAGATAGAACAATTGTATTTCTATTAAATGATACTGATCTACGAAATTGCTAAGGCGGTTGATTCTATTTCAATTTCTGACAGCTGAGACATTTAGGTATTCAGTGTGTAAGGACTTAGCCCAGGTGTGCTCTCATGGGGTTGCAAAGTAATCAGGTTTATCGGAACGGAAATCATGAATAACGAGCAATGACGTCTACCTCCTGACTGTTATCCGGACGTGCTTCCAATAACGCCACAAAGGTACGTGGTAAGAAGCGAGAAAATATCTTACATACCCCCCACTTAATGGGAAACTGGGGAGATGGAGCCCCAGTAGTCCAATTCTGGTAGTGACATATTATCGCTTACCGCATTTTAGTTCGGGCGCCACTGTAGAGGTATTAGAATTTTTCGAAGCAAGGGAACTGAAGGAAGTGAATAATGACATCACCGAGACTGGAACTTCGGACCTCCCGATTGCTACCAGATGTGCTTCCAATTACATGACGAAGGCACACAATAAGGAGGGAGAAAATACCTGACAGTGTAGGTGACTAGCATATTCAACTGATAAATGGAAGATCTGAAGTTCGAATCCTGGAGGACACTATTGATTTTTTACGTTTCCTGCATCGATAAGCCTAATATGTCTGTACGAGTATTAGTTGTGTAAAACGTACTGCAATCTGCTGGATGCTCGATGTTTCATATATTAATATTGATTAATTGTTCCCTGTTTACTTACCGAACTAAGCCCAAAAACACCGGTATCTCGTTCTCAGTTCAAATCCAATGGCTGAAAGGGCTGACTGCATGGGCTTATCGAAGTTTTGCATTCTATAAGGTAAATGTAAACCAGTTTACTTTAGAAAATACTCTAAACTTTTAAATAGACACTTTTTGAATCCACGTTTAAAATGTTTAAGTTATGAAAAACATCACATTGAATGAAAGCAGGATTTTTAATGTCTCTGCCTGTAACTGGTTAGGATGTAAAAGGCATTCCTGACCACTTCACGAGATATTGAAGGAAAAGAAAGAAGCAGAATCGTATCGGAAAAAAAGAAACTACTGGAACCTAGTTCTAAGATTTATTTCAATGGTAGTGTACCTCTGTATGCTAAAAGAGACACGACTTTACTGCAAGTCCAAATCAACGATCTAGTCTTTAAAATATCAAATGTTAAGGCCCTTTTTAGATACTTCCTTTGCCTATTTAAAGAGAAAAAAGCGAATGACAACTCTATTACATCCCGATAAAATCTGTGGATGAAGGTGAAAGAATAAATCTCTCCTATCTCCTGCTATAGCAGTTATCTGAAGTTGACTGCCAGCTTCAACAGTTTAGAGGTAGATTGCCTGTCCTCATAGACAAGAGATCTTTATTTAGATTTTTTTTGTCAAAACTGAGGTCTTTACACAACGTTAGTGAGTATACGTAACTAAACTGAGGCCAAGACTGTCGAAAGCTGAAAACAGACAAAGTACGGTGTTTAAGTAATAATTGAAGCTCTCAATTTCAAGATATTCATTTCGTAATTTAAGTAATATGAGTATGGCAAAAGACATATGATTCCTTTAATAGAAAGAAGCAACAAAGTTACTATTATTTATTCTGAAACACAGGACATTATATCACATTTGGCATGAAAAAAAAAATATCCAGGGAATACTAATTTTGACTTCCAAGATGTGAGTCATTAACAATGGACACAGGAACGACGAAACAAAAATAAGCACTTGTTTCAAATCTAACATTCATTTCCGCCTCATTATTTCCTACTTATAATATTTCTCGTCAATATTTTCATCTGCACATAGGATGTTCCTAAAGTTACGGAGCATAAACATTTACTAAAATTTGGTTGTTCTACAATTTTAAATTTTATGTGCATTCACATAAAAAATGACATCCTGGAAAATTAATGTAGCAGTTGATTAATAGCACTTTAATTTGAAAAGCAGATTCAATTCATTTATTACAGACTTCCAAATAAGGTGTTTTAAATAAATTGTATGTGTTTACCAATAATAATAACGTAGAAACGGAGTAACTAAAAAAAAGAATTAGTTCATTATGGGTTGACTCCTTGACAACTGATTTCCAGTCTACTCAAGCGAACAACTAATGAATAATTTGTCATAATCAACAAGTGGTAATTGAGTTTGGTTATTTATTAAGTTAGGTTGTTTAAGCTCAAGAGTTTTCTGTCTTAAGTGTGTGTGTGTGTGAGATTATGGCAAAGCCTCGAGGGCTATCTGCCTAAGGAGAGGAATGCCTTCGTGGCGGACTTTCTAAGGGAAACTGGCTCGTATACACGTTACACATGGGGAAAACCACGAAAACGCCCATGCAACCAGCCCGTTCGCGGGATCCGAACCTCGGATCGAACTACCAGTGTTCAGCGACTTTACCGCTCGACCGCTGGTGGGCTTTCTATCTTAAGAGGAATGCTTTTATGAAGGATTTTCTAAGGAAAAATGGCTCATATTCATGTTACACATAGGAAAATTCACAAACCTTATTTAATGTGCTTGTCGTGTGGTTATACCCGGGACGATCTACTGGGCTTAAGCCACTCTTATCTACTCAGACACTAATGGCCCTACCAACATACTGTATGGAAAAGGTATAATTGATAATTAATGCTTTCAATTCTAACTCAAACTTCGAAGTACTTTAAAACTGCAAGATATTTCTACTGAGGAGAAAGTAATTACCGGGTGTGTAGATTATTAATTTTAAGTTTTAATATTTTGTGCATACTTCTGCACCTTAATAGGAAAACGGAAATATCTAATCTGGAAGTTTTGATGAAAATCTATTAATTTTCAAGCTCAGTTTTGAATCAGATATATAGAATTAAAAGAAATATTTCTGTAAGGATTAATTCTTTCTTTTGCACTTCAAAAGGCATGGAAGTCTTCTTATTTTGACGCATGTAATCATTTAAAACATCATTATCCAAAACCTTTCTTTTTCGAATAAACATATCCTACTTTTTTTATGAGAACGGGTCTAGCTTAGAATGCAACAATGTAAGAACAGTAGAATTCTCCTGTAATGAAATTAGTGATTTTAATCTGACTGATTCAAATACCTTAAAGTCAAATTTTGGGCATTGGTCTTTTACATAGTAGAGTACAATTTTAATCTGAATTTTTCCTCTCAATCTCAAATTTCGATAAAAAATTCATAATTTTTACTATCCTTTCAAAATAGAGATTCGTAAAAACTTGAAAAGTTCCCGTAATTTAAGCAAAAAGTATTTTTTTTATTATTAAATAATTTAGTAATTAGATATAGAATTTAATGAAAATCTTCTAACAGAAAGATAGAGAACTGATGCTTCGTATAATTTGAGCATCATATTACGAGTATGTACAATTTTCTGTCCTGTTAGGATAATTTTTACAAAAATATGATGCAAATGAATCCAATCAAAAAAAAAAAGAGTTCTTTGGATGCATTAAGAAAATATTTATCACCTGAATATTTTACTTTCTAAAACCTTATTCTACCATCGTGAAGAGACTTTCCATTTTCTTTCAGAATAAAAAAGAAAAGAAAAGAAAAGAAAAAAAAAATGGAAGATAAAAAAATGCTGTCATTGTTTAAATAAAAATGAGTTTAATTAATGCTTAACACCATCTGTTCCGGGGTGCTGTTTTACAACTCAGGGACACAAATCTTTTTCTAACATCGCGTACTGTCGACATCCCATTGTCATGAAAGTTTCTATTTAAAATTTTGGTCAGCGAAACTTTTTATATTTTTAAATCATGCCCTCGCTCAGCTGCGTCAATCCCTCTACTAATGAGTGCTCCACAGCCTCTAATGCATACGCCCGATGCCTTTCCGTTTTGGGACTAGCATTAGACCTTGAAGTGCTGAGAGAAAGAAATTAAGACACAATCGTTTTGCGAAATTGTTGTTCTCGGATGCCACCAGAGGGCGCAACATTCGCTCCTTATAGCAGGCTGAAGTGTTATCTGTAGGCCCAGACCTCGCAGTGAGCACGGAAGAGGCCTGTGCGATCTGTGTTTTGTGTGTCCGTGTGCTTTTTACGTCGTGATGGTTCGGCGTTGATCAAAACAAGAAAAAGCCTCGACCGATACGACAAAAAGACTATTTTTTCCGATTTTTTTAATTATTTTTTTTTCTTTATTTGTATTTTTTTTTGTCTGTGCTGAATAGGATTTCGTCGGGACCACTAAGCAAGGTATGTTAATTTTTACTTTCAAAAGAACCTGAAATATTACTATTCTGAGGAAGATTATTTAGAAAATCATTTATTCAAGGGGGCATGCGATTTGTTTTAAGTTATGAATATTAAGGCAATGAAATTAACATATCGCTCAGAATGTATAACAATAGTAGGCGGTCATCAAATCAGAGAATGAGCTAAACAGAGCATGCAATTAAAATCATATTTGATTATTCCTTGCTTTATCCCATATGAATATGCGTTTAGAATTTTTGTGAAGACCAAAGTATAGATAATCTTTTCAACAAGGCAAACACTTAATTCATCTGTAGCAAAGTTTCATCTTCAAATCGGCCGTTAGTTTCTATTCATAAAGTAGATAAATAGGTAGCTTAGAAGTTGCAAATGAAATCATGTTAGATGGGTGAAACTGTTAATTAAGTTTTTAATCATAAAGTAGTACAGTTATAATATCGGTTGTGCATGGTTAAAGAATTTATTTATAACTCGCGCCATCTGAATAGCATAAATTATTATTTATTGTTGTTAAACTTCTGCATTTAAATTATAATTCAAACCGAAAAGTAATTTTAATAGCAAAAATGCTGTCTAATTAAAATGATCGCAATGAAATTCTTTCTCTTTCTAGTGTAGTTCTATATCCTAATTGCATTACTCTTAGCTTTCATCAATTAGTTGTTACAGAAAAACAATATTCAACCATCATATGAAATTGGAATACTTCATTTTAATGTTGTCATAGCTTATAAATATTCTGCATTAACTAAACTTGTGACACATTTTGCATTAACCGAGATTCTGAGACTGTAACTCATCTCTGATTACTGAAATATGTTATTACTTGACAACTAATTCAATCTTCGATTGTCTTAACTTAAGGCATATGATGCTGTACCTGGTTTTACACTAATTAAGATTGCAGCTTTACCTTTAACTTCTTGAGAGAGTCCTATATGTATACTCTACTGAGAAAAAGATTTTAAAATGTTCGCTCTAATAAAAAAAATTATCTCAAAAATTCCGAGTCTTGAAAGTTGGAATTATACTTTTCTAACATCAAAAGAAACTGCTTATCTGTCCTTGCTTTAAGGTGCATGATAATCTGAATTCCAGATAATTATTTTTATCACAGTTCATTTCTTCTAGTGCATGCGATTGGTTTCTTAATAAAATTTTAGTGTATGATATAAATTAATATCTCGTTTCTAGAGCACTTGTTACTGGTGTTCTAATTAAGATTTTCACTTCGAAATTTCTTCAATAACAGAATGAAAGATGAATTATTATTTTTTAATAAAATTAATGCTACTTTTGGGTTTTAGCTGTTAGCTGTTTCACAGTCATTTACAATAATTATGTTATACCTCTCTTTATTATCGTGTAAATGGCAAACAACCTTTAATTACGAAAATCTTACGTCTTAATCAGTGGCTTTTAGATTTTAATAATTCAGAAAATTTTAAAAATTGTTGTGCTATAATGAATGAATGTTTCGCCATCTGTTCATTCTTTATATATAATTAGAAACTAATATTAATTATTCATAAGTTATTTAGCATATTGGCAGTCTATACGTTAGGATTATTAATTTCAGAATTTAAAACTGGGAGGTTATAAAGAAGCGAATGGCTATTAGATGCAAACGCAAATTTGTATTTTAATAATTGATGAAATTTCACCACTGCTGGTTTAATAAAAAACAAATCCAATACATTTCGGATAATAAATGAAACGATCTCCCTTCCTCATTTCTAAAACAGACAAAAGACTCCTTCCTTTGCAATATTTTTCTCCTTTAATGCTTAAAAAAAGAAAGAGAGATTCTTTCCAGTAAGATATGCAACGATTAGGCTATATAATTGAATTGCTGCTACTCGAAGGCTACTTGCGTAGGAGATGGGGGATGGAATACTTTCATGGTAGAGCCTCTAAGGAAAATGATAGGATTTACATCACTGGGTAGGTTATGGAATACGCCAATAAGCTGCAGTGTTTTGAGGCTTTAACCAATTCGTAACTATTTTTACGGGTTAAGCAAAGTTGAATGCAAACGTGTAAATATAGATTTTTTTTATCAATATTACAAATTAAGATAAAGTAGTTTATACCGTAAATGAAAATAAAGGATAAATATGCTTCCAGGAGGATATGAGATTTCTTTTTTATAAAAAATTTATTTCTCGCTGATGAAAAGAGGGTATATAGCCTTCTTGAGAAGGAATTTGCTTTTGGTTTTGGAATATTTAATTCCAATAGTTTCCTCCTAATCTTATGTAAGTATTTAAATATTAATTTATTATAATAAATATTAAAACAATATACGCGTACCTATATATTCTATATTTACTCTTCTAGCAGCGAATAATGTAATAAAATATTTGTCGGAATGAAGAAAAGGAAATTCTCTTTACAGGAAATTTTTAATTTCTGTACAAGTAAATGCAAAATATTCCAAAGTCAACAATGAAAAAAAAAACCTTTCTTCAGATGTCTAAGGACGCATATTTTCAGTTGATGACTCATTCATTCTTCGGAGTTTTTACTGGAACAGGAAGAGTGTTTTAAATAGCATATTGTTTAAATGCGCTTTTCTTCTTCGGTCGAACTGCAGATGTCACTTTAATTATGAGTGACAGAATATCATCACTTCCATTCTTTAAACAAATACTTGAGAAAATGTGAAGTATTCAAAAATGAATCCAAGCGAAAAATAGTAAAAACATAACTCCTCTTACAAATAAATAATTTTAATCAAAATGATATTTTAATAGATAACTACTAAATTATTAATTAAAATATAACGAGTTAAAATTATCGATGATTGGGAGTTCATGAAGTTAATTGTAAACATTTTATTTTCATACTATGAAATTTTTACTTTAAAATTTCATTGACAAGATTATTTTTCTGAATTTGTAATGTTTAAATCTAACTCATCTGTAAATTATTAGTTGAAGATCATGTTGTGTAAAATTAAAATGTTGTAATTGATGAAGAACGTCTTACATATCAAACAACTTCTAGAATTAATTCGTGGTTATTGAATTGTGGGAAAATATTATTATTACCTTTGGTGGCATCTTCGCTTGTTAATGTCTTGCATTTTAATGTACGCAATCTAAATTCACTATGGTATAGTAACATTTGCTAGATTCTTAAAAATCAAATTTCAGGGCATTTTGTTGTTCTAATTATTATACACATACATTTAATTCAACATTATGGATTTAAATTTTTTCCCCAATAGTATTCACTAAGATTTCTGTGAATCAAATTTCAACATTATGTTCCCTCGATTTTTTTTCCCTCTTTAGAAATTTATTCTCCCCTGACTCTTAAAATTCAATCTTAAAAATTTAGTCATCTTATTCTTTCGCAGTACGTTATAGTGTGATTTCTGATTTTATGATTCCACATAAATAATAAATCAAAAAGATTAAATTGAAGTAAAATAATTCATGCGAAACGGGTTCAACTATTTCAATACATCGCATTTTTTGAAAAACTGGATGTTGAAGCATGAGAGTAAAAAGCAAGCAATAATCTTCATGGTTTTAAATCATCATTGCCAAAAGGCTCAAATACCACTTTCAAATAAAACCTTTGTATTAAATCAATAATAACTCTAGTCCCTCTCAAAATACTATATTCCTCATATAGTAATAGAAGTGTGATGCTTTTCGATTTTAAAACACATGATTTGCAGAATTTATTATTTAAATACTAGAACCACATTTGCTATAAAATCAAAAGTTAAATGCATAATTACCATTCATTTTATATATGTTTTCTGCTCTCTTCCATTTATAAAAAATACAAGTATAACTCTAAAATATTGCTCATCTAACACAGATTGTCGTTTTGTAAGTGCATGGCTAAATTATTGCAGGTATTGCTCTGCATGCTATACAGATATTAATTGCATTTTATTGTGTTTTGAAAGAGGTATTACTATTTCTCCAGTATCTTTTAATAACATAATAACTGGTTTTTTATTCTGAATACTAAATCTAGTGCAACGAAAGTGGAAATCACGTTATTAATTATTGAAAGTATTTTAATATTTAAAAATTTCGTAGAAAATTTTATGAAAGGTTATTTAATTAGTTGATGAAACATAATATGACTTTAAATGCATTATTTTCTCTTGATATAATATGTATAAATGATAGTTCCGAAATGTGAAGAATTATGTTTTTTAAAACAAATGCCCTGACATTTTAAACTTTTAAAATATTATAAATTCAAATTAACTCTCGAAGGATTTTTAGCATCGTTAGTAGAATTAACAAATATCTCCATTGTTTTAACAAAAAATATTTGAAAATAATTAATTAATTTCAGCTTTTTGTTAATTTTCATATAGATGAATTTTGAATATATTAATAGATACCATATATCTTAATTACTGTTTATGTTACATTATGAAGATGTACTTAAGATTATTACTACATAAGAATATGATAACTTAAAAATTGCGTTTTATCTCCATTTGTTTTGTATTCCATGCAAGAACTAAGAAATAACAAGTGTTTTTCCAAAATGAATCTTCCATTTTTATCGTATGTCCACAGGAAGAGACAAAGAAATACTTTCCCAAAAGTGAAGTATATCCCCTTGTGTTAATTCAATAGTATCTTACAAGCAGTATGGATAAAAAAAATCTAAGCTCTGTTCTTATCGATCCAAGTTCGAAAGGAGTGATATTTGTGGTTTGCTTTTAGACTTACAATTGCTAAGATGATAACAATGATAACTTAGAAGATTCTTTCCTTTTACAGCACTACTCTCTAGTAATGACTATTTCGATATTGTTCTACCCATACAACTGGAAAAATATTAGTATATAAACTAATCTAAGCAATGATGAGTATTATAAATAGGCCATATGTACAAGTATTTTCAGCGCATAAAACTTCGCCATTTATATAGAAAATGTTATTTCGGGATAGCATTCCGAGAATTCCGAATTATGAAACTGATACTTAACCCGA